AGTTCTATGCCTGCAGCTGTGTGGCCGAGGCGGGCGAACGAAGAGGCAGACGTGCCCGAGTGTGCATGTTGTCAATAACAGTTGCACGCAAGGTATCCACTTTATGCGGCCTCGCAACCAGTTGCCTGCTTAGTCTTGGCCAGCTTGGTCTGCCTGTCCTGTACGTTGCCTGTTGGCTGTTTATGTCATGATGTCCTTTCTTCGTCTGTTTGCAGCTGAACGCACGCGTGCACTAATCCTTTTGCAGCTGCAATCTGCGACTGCTCACAGGATCACGGCAGTATCCTGCCAGCCTGCCAACCAGCCAACCGGACCCGAATGCAATACATCAAATTTTGGCAGGCCTGACTATCTGGCTGCCTGGCTGCCTGGCTGCTACATCGCGATCTTTAGCGAGTGGCAGGTGCGTCTCTCCCCTAGTCGTTGCTACACGCTGCTCGCTGTGCTGATTGTAGGGGCCATCAAACAGATTGCAAAGCACATTTGCAACATGCTACGTGCCACGTAAGCTGCAATTAAGTTTTGTTAATTTTAATGAAGCTTTGTCGCATCTGCTGTCAGTTGCCTGCTGCTGCTGCTGCTGCTGTTACCGTAAACAACAACAACTGGCCATTGGGCAGCATTTTGTAGGGATTCTACGTTTTGGATTTCATGCGTTGCGCTCTCTCCTTTTTTTTGTATCCAAAAGCAATGCAACAGCTGCCCATTTGTGCTTAAGGGTTGTTTTCCTCCCTTTTTTTTGAAGTTTTCTTTTGGTATTTAGTTAACGTTTTTTCTTTAATTAAATTAAACGCATGTCTGGCTAATGGCATATCATTATCTAGCTGATCAATGAGTGGCAAAACATATGCAATTTAGATATATCATCATTTTAGATTTTAGCTGGATTATTTGTATATAAGAGAGGCCAGACTATCGTGTGTGAATTGAATAACCTTAGAGTCTAGAGTTGTCTTGTACTGCAGTTAGTTAAGGTTTGGGTTAAGAACTCTCTTCCTAAAGTCATAATCTTTAGATTAATGCACTTAGCAATGTACTCTATACTAATTATTTACATATTTTTATTACAATTTAAGCTATTTTTAATTTAATTTTAGGATTTTTTAAAACATTGGAAAATTGAGCTAATAAAAAATCATTTTGCCAAATTTTCTAGGTAAGCGATATTTGAAATGTTGTCTAAATATCACAGCCTTGAATTGAAAACAATTCTTTCTTATATTTTATATTCTTGCGTATTGTAACAAAATTATATTTCTAATTTGTGAGGTCTTCGTATAGGATCAGATTTAACATGATTTGAAATATGTTTGAGGCTTTGGCTAATGTTTATTGAATATGTGTATTTAGTTTAACAAAGTTTATGCTACGCCTATGATTGTCGAGCTGTCAAAATAAATATATCCAAGGCAAAATGCAGACTTGTCGACACAGACGCAGCTGTACGATGTCAATGGTCATAATATTCTAATTATGCTTGAAAAACATGCGAAGGCTTAGGTAGACAAAGCTGATGCACTGAGAGAGCCAACGAGAATCTACATGGAAAAAAAAGAGAAAATCTCCTTATAACAACCTAAATATTTTAGGTTGATCGTGTCGCTGGCTGCTCTAGATGTAACAGAAACTAGAGGACTAGAAGAAGAAGTGAGAAGTTGAGAAACTACAATCAAATTTGTACATTCCAGCTTTTGTAGCTTTTAGATCTTATGCATATTATATGCTGGACTGCTAAGCCTGATCAGTATTTTCGTATAAAATTGTATCCGACTTGAAGCTAAGTACAAATCTGGCCAAGCACAAACTTAAATTGAAATTTAGTTTTACCAAAATATCTTTGTTTTATCTAAAAATCTTGAGCACTATATTTGCATAGTTTAATCTCCTATAATGCTGCAGCCTCAGCTTGTTCTGTTTTGATTCGAAATGAATCCTGAAAGTTAAGCCTTCGCTTGGACGCAATCAATGTGTGAAGCGGCTCTTTAGCTATTTTCACCTGTCTGTGGCCGTGGCAACTAAGTGCTTCACTTGGCTGCTGCATGAACAATAAAAATTTATACATGTTTAAGTTTTGCATGTGTGCGCCTGGGTGTGTGTGTGTGTGTGTGTGTGCTCTGGCAAATTTTTGTTAACGTTCGCACTTTGGCCACCATTTAGAGCTCGGCAACTGGGGAACTTTGTGCAGCACGCAGCAAAACTTTTATCCAAATGCAGCAAATACCCAAAGCCAAAAGCTAAAGCTGTAGCCGTGGTCGAGTCGGAAGTCCAGGGCCATCAACAGCCAACTGTGGAGTGGGAGCAGCCGAGGAGGAGCAGCATAAAATTGCAGCGACTACAAAGTGGTTATTTTGTTTGAAGTAATCCACAAGAAGTCGTTAAAACTGTCGTTGGCTCCTAGATTGATGATGGTTTCACGTGTCCAATGCAGCCAGCCAGCCCGTCACCCAGTCAGCCAGCCAGCCATTCCTGAGCCTCGCTTTATCCTGCAGCCTTGTACCGCTGCTATTTATGATAAAGTGTGCTCCGCTATGTGTGGGCGGTGCTAAGGTGAAGGTGTGCAGTTGGTTGAATGCACTTGAAAAACTTCACATGAGCTACTGCTGCAGAACGCTTTTTGCAGAGCGTTTACCAAGCAGCAGCAGCAGCAGCATCAGCAGCAGCTCTTCACATGCCACACTATACGATCGACTTTAATATCGGTACATGATTTACGTCTCAATGATTTTTCTAGTCCTTTGACATGCAAATACGGCAAATACTATACAAACCGAGTCGAGTGAACAGGATATGAGAGTATATGCTTGCCATATAGCTGTCTGTCAGCTCGCTTAAAAATGTTGCTGGAAATGAAGAAAATTCCAGGTTTTACACACGCTGCACTCGTATCGTCGGTTCGCCCTTTGACACCTGATAAGTGTCGGGCTCAAAGCGCTCGACGAACCAAATACCCACAGCTTCTTCTTCTTCTTCATCTTTCTGTAATCAAATATGCAAACCAAATAACAAACACAGCTGAAAGCAACTGAAAAGAAATTGTAGGCGGTAATCTTAAAGCAGGCGCCATTAACAGCAGCCGTAGCCGATTTCTTTCTTTATTTTCCTCTCCAACTCCGTACGCATTTTCAATTAACTTTTTGCCCTGCAGCCTCTTTTCTTTATATGTCGTGTAGGCGTGCCAACGAAAGAATGAAAAAACAATAACACAAAGCGTCTAAAGCAGCGCTCAGGTTATTGGCAATAAAAGGTCACCCGAATTTCCTATATGAGCCTAGATGCCTTTTGCCCCCAAGAAAATTAACATAAAAGAAAAGCCTGCGTAGAGCATCGAGCGTGAAACTGTTATGCTCATTGCTTCACATCATATTTAGTGGAGCCAACAATATGCATAATTCTGTGCTTTTAATACCCTCTAATTGTGTTCTAGAATGGGAAGTATGACGATAATAAAGTGAAAGGAGTATGAGTACGAGTTTAGAGAGCTTAAGTATTGCTGTTGGCATAAGAAAATACTAAAAATATTTTTAGTTTTTTTCAGTTTTTGAATTTACGGTAAGACTTTTAATTATATAAAAAAAATAAAAAGGTCGAATTTTAAATTATTAATAATTTTATCATGAATGAAAAGGAATCCCACAATTTTGTTTGGTTTTTAATTTTTATAATTAGGAAAAAAATGTATAAATTAACAAAAATTATTAATTTTTTATATGATTTTTGTATAATTAAGAATTAATTAAAAAAAAGTTTTAAAATGCAAAAAATAAGAATATCTTTTTTGTATCATAATCAAATATTTTTCTTAAATTCAGTTTGTATATTTCAAATATATTTTCATGCCGTAAACACATCGAGTTAGAGTATATAATATTCGATAAATATTATCATTAATATTTGAATTCCATTTTTTATTGTGTCTCGGCGCAAATGTGCGGCACGTGACCAGACCGAATCAAATCAATGGCACTCAAAGTTTAGTTGGGAACCTGTCGTGACTGGCTCAGCTTAAATCTTAATGCTAATTAGCCAGATAAGGAGCCACACTTTCGGCGCAATTGTGTGGCAAAAGCAAAGTAAAGTTGCTTGACCCAAACGACATAAGTACATGTAATTCAGACAAGCTATACACTTAACTTTGTGGCTTAATTGCTTGCTGCAGGACGGACGACGTTAAGCAAGAGCGTGTGCTGTAATGTAAGCATGCCAATAAGTGGGTGTCAAAGATAAGTCAACAACTTTTGAAATAAGCCCGAAAGTCACTTCAAAATCAAATACTTCGCTTGATGTAATAAATATTAAATGCTATCTCTAGGGGTTACGTCTTTTTTAACTTTGCTTTAATAGAAAACAGGTTGTGGGAATTGATGGAAAATTGAGAAATAATTAATTAATTTTCTTTGTTAAATATAAAATTGAAGATATTTTCGTTTTACATGATACGAGTTTCGTATTAGAATTAAAGTTTTTATTTATAATTAGAGTTGTATATATATATATATATATAAATTTTTTTTTTTTAATTTTTTTTTAATAATGAATTTCTTCACATCATTTAGAATGCTTTCTACATAAACAACAATTAGACCTAAAAATTTGATTGATAATATGATTATTTACCGATACTTCGAAAAAATATTTACCTATATATATCATTTCGCTTATTTCTTTAACTGATTGTAAAAAGCTTCCACTAACCGCTGCTGTTAACTACTTTATGCCAAGCTTTCAGTCAGGACTTAAATCTATCTAATATACTCACTGCAAGCAGTTCAGTTATGCAGTGCTTCCACTTGCGCAGTAAGCCGAAGTCCAAACCGGAAATTAAACTGCTTGCTCATTCTCAGCTCAGTCAATCTGCTTGCTATTCACTCCCAAGCAGTTAACACAACCAAAGCAAATATTACGCATACGCCAAGTAGCGCAATTTCTAATGCTCATCAAATTGAAATATATTGTGTATACATATTTATACATCTATATATATATATATATTTTTTTTATATTTATAAATAAATTCATATACGTTTGCTACAATCTAATCCAATTGTTATCGACACTTGAGAAAATCACAAATGTGTCTCCTCGACCGATTTCAATCGAAAATGCCCTCATCGGCTGCTTTGGCAACGAGCGATTTAAGACCCTCAGTGACCTCGACGCCAACTTCCGTAATTTGATTGGATGGCAGGAAGAAGCCAAATGTGCCCTTATCACGCAGCTCGACAGTGCAGGTGAATGGTATATCCTTAACCCCGTAGGCCCAGTCCTTAGCCGCACCAGACACAACATCTACAATAAACGACGAGTCAGAGGTCAATAGCATTACAAGTGGCAGTCATTTCGTTTTCTTTTTTTTTTCAACACTTACAGTTCAATAAACCGCTGGCGCCATAGGTGAAAACAGAGCCAAACGCATCGACAGCTCCATCGGCAAAGGCAGCAGCAATGCGCATCATTTGATCATAGTTGGGCGGAAATTCAGTGTTGGTGTGTCCATAGGGCAACAGTACGTACTGGCCATAGGCATGGAAAGCCAGGTAGGCCCGTATATAACCGTCGTCAAAGGAGCTAACAAAGTCCTGCAGGGCCAGAATTTCGCGTTCAGTGTTTGGCTCATCACCGCCGAACCAATGATCGCAGGGGTCCTCAATACCCCAGCCGGCGCCGCTCCAATGGTAATCAAAATTGCGATTCATATCGATGCCATAGCAGGGACCCGATGAATTCGTATAGCCATTGGGGCGACGATTCTTGCGCCATAAGCGCTCCACCTCGTGCGTGTAGACAAACCCATCGGGATTCACCATGGGCACCACAATCCAATCAAACTCCTCTGTCAGCCGTTGGATGTCATCATCCTCTGAGTTGATTAACTGATTAAGTATAAAGGTGACGGTGGCCGACGATATCCATTCCATGGCATGAATGTTACCCTCAATTACAATGGCCTTGTTGCCCTCACGCTTTGACAGCCTAACGCTCTTGATGGGCCTGCCCTCGTACGAGTGACCTATGACTTTGCACTCGAGATAATCATGCTCGTCGCACTGCTCATCCACCCAGTCGTAGATTACATCCAATGGATGATAAGTTTCCCAGTCCATGGGCGCATCCTCGTCCACCGGCGACTCGTCGAGCAAACTAAACGAAAAGTTTTTAGCATTTGCTTCTTTTTTTTTTTAATTAAAGTCTGCCTGGAGCCTTACGCCTGCAAATCCTCAACGATTACATCATATGCCACCTCCAAATCGTTCAGCACCTGCTCAAAGGTACGCTGAAACAATGGACCCACAATAACATCATAGCTGCGATTGGGTCCTCCAATCTCGTGCAGTATATGAACCTAAGCAAAAAATGAAAGAAAAAAAAGAAAAAGAAAAAGAAGTTGATGTTTCGTTTCCCTTGCCTTATCACGTTCACCTACTTGTATGTGTTGATGAATTTTTTTAAACTCCTCCAGCTGCTCGCTATCCTTGACATAAGCTCGATACACTTTGAAGTTATCGTAGCGCGCGGCCAAAGGTTTCCTGGTGCTGGCCAAAGCTGCCAAGGATATCAGGGCTAAAACTAGCAGCACTTTCATGTTGCCTTTCTCTCTTCTTGTTTGTTTTGTGAAACGTTCGAGCGCTCACTGTACTGTGCGCATTGGCCATGCACTGCCTTTTATATTCAGAGGGAGCACTTGGCTCTTGTGTCGATTAGCTTGTGAAGTGCACATTGTCGAAGTGCAGCAACACCATGTGTTATCTAATAAGTTATTGATAGGGCAAACTTTTGATCAATCATCTGGCATTGTTGTGAGTTTTTGCAGCGCGTCTGCAGCACTTTGTTTCTCTCTTATCTACATATATGACACTTAACCTACCACAAAGTAGCAGACACATTGTCAACAAAAGGAGCTTGCCACAGTGCATTGATTCCTGATAATTGTGTCTGCAATTGAAATGAAATGAAACGACCAAATGGAATCATGCAACTGGAGAATGCTTTGGGGGAGACAATGAACTCATCCAAATGAGTTTTGTGAAGGGTTCCTTATCAAATAATTAAATTATTTGATTAACTCACTCTTAAGTTTCTAGTAGTGGTATTTAAAGGCAATTACATGCAGATAGAATAAACTAGAAATGTAAACTTTTTAATGTTAACCATAACATTATATCATATAGACATTCCATTCATCCAACTTAATAGATTGTGTGGCTTTTAAGCTACCTCAAACTAAAGTATAATCAACTGGCAATTCAACATAATCCACACTAAATTACAGCTGCTTTGTACGAATGTACATGCATCCCCGATATGCTTTTATGCCACTTTCGATGCGGTTCAGACAAATATTTGTCAGTGTAATTGATAAGATATGTTCGTGACTGGCCGTTGAGCACTACTCGTTGGTTTGGGGCTAACCATTTTGATAGTCCAATGTCTGCGCGTGAAGAAGCACTTTTCGAGTGGCAAATGCGATTGCACTTGAATCGAACAAACAGAGAGAAAGAGAACGAAAATGCTCCGAAAAGTTGTAAGGGCATCGTGGTTTGGGAAATAGATTTGTCAAATTTGTATTTTAATTGCCTGCATTCAATTATCATGTTTGAATTGTTTAAATATTGATTACAATTTAACTGACGATGAACATAATGCAATTATCCACAAAACAAATACACAACTAACGGCCATTTGACGTTTTTAATTGATTATGCAAATGCATTTAATTAAAGGCTAAACAGCTTTGTCAATACATATCAATGGATTAGCGTGCATTATGTTTGTTATAAAAAGCCAAAAATGCAATTACAAATTATTATTTGACATTTTAATTGCAATTGGCTAAAGCCAGCAACTCAATTGTTAAAGTAAATTATTTTTGTTTTATATACAAATGAATAATACTTCAATTTGAATGAGTTAGTTGATTGAATGCTGTTAATAACAGACAGAGAGAGAGTGAGAGAGTGAGAGCTGTTACTGTTAACAGACTGCACTGCTTAACAGCAGCAGAGCGCGCTGCTTGCTTTGCCGGTCTCGCAAAGCCAAAGACAAAGTCACAGAGAGAGCACAAAGGAAGCATACTTTATAGCTGTAATGAGTGATAAATTATAAATAAATAAATAAATTAAATTATAAAGTAAAAATTTTATATGTTGACTTAATGCTAATAAACAAAGCGATAATTGCAAATTGAAAATTGTTGCCAAATTGTATATAGCTCTATATATACTTATATTTAGTATCGGGCTATAAAAACACTTAATTTAACGCTAGACTTTTATGTCTACTTACGCAGCATCTATGATTACAACAATGCGTTTTTCGAGGCATTTGTTAATTAAAAGCAAGCAACAAATATGCTCATGACCCAACAACACCCCGCCTACCCAGCCCAAAAACACGTGCTAAATAAATACGCCAAGTTGTTAAGTACCAACGGCCTGTCTCCCTCGCTTTGACACAGCTCATCCTACACGGATGCATTGCCACCCTCAACGAGTGTGTCGTAAATACACACGCGCTTTTCTTTGTCTGTTTCAGTTTTTCGTCTTCGTTTTATGCTTTTTCACATAAGGAAATTTTATAGAATGCGTCGGTGGCGGCGCCAAAACACGCTTCGCTGTCACTGTGTGTTTTCGGGCTCAAGGTAAATGCGCGAATTGATGTGTCGTAAAAAAGCTGTTAATTAGCTTTCAGTAGCAATAAAATGTGGTTTGCTTTCCGCACACTTTTCAATATTGAAATTTGTGCCCTTTACTACACATACGTCCGTCCGTCTGTAAATTGACTTTCTTGTTGCTTGAGGTGCCGTGTCTCTGCTTCTAGTCAAATAGAATGTATGGGCAGTTGGGTTGCGTTGGGTTGGTTGGGTTTTTGGTGGCTGTCTGAGATGTTTACTCTGCCATCTCTGGCCCGGCCACAAAGGCAAATATTTACAAGAGGCACGCGGAAGGCAGGAGGCGCGCGTTGCTGATGCTTCCTGAGGGCTCAACGCAACTTTGCGGCCCTCGTGTGCATAGTTTCTGGGTATCGGGCATATGCGAAAGTTAAGATCGTATGCCCAGACCAGAGCCTGCCCCACGGGTGCGACAAACAGCGTGTGTTTTAAGCGTTGCCAGCCAGCCGAACTGGAAACTTCATCAAAAGCGCACGCAGTAACAACAACAACAACATCAGCAGCAGTAGCAGCGGGCACAAAAAATAGTTTGTCCTTTGGCACATTTATGAAATGTGCACCAAAATACGTATGTGTGTGTGTGTGTGTGTGTGAGTGTGTGTGTGTGTGTGTCAACTCGTGTGTGTTGTCAACACACAATAACTTTCACTTCGGTTGCTCTCTAAGCGGCTTAAAAACTTGCCCGAAACTGTTGAGCTGGCAACAGAGCCAACTGCCAACTGCCAAATATTTGCGCAGATAATGAAAGTAATACAATGTGTGTGTCACTGTGTGTGTGCGTGTGCGTGTGAGTGTGCGTGTGGATATCTCTTTCGCTCTGCGCGCGTGTGTGCTAGTTGACAGTTAAGTAATGTGGCATCAGAAGTTAACTGTTTGTTGCCTGCTTTTGATTTTATTGTCAATTCACTTAGCAGCGGTAATTGACCCTAATGCCTGCCTGTTGTTCGTTTCTTGTCTTTAGATCAATACGACAAATTTTCCTTTTTTTGGCAACAAAATTCAATTTGCTAACATACACCCATACACACATATCCCTCTCTCTGTCTCTCTCTCTCTCTCTCGAGGTCTCTCGCTTATAGCGTAAAATGTCAAAAAAGCACGTTTCAGTGTTTTGGGATTTTGTTTTTGCATGTCATGTGCCGCCAACTTTGAACTCTGCACTCGGCTCCTGTTTTACGTTATTTTTTTTGTATTATTTTGTTTTTGTTCTTGTTGACTGTCGCTGTTTAAGTAGTAGTCGCAGTAGCAGCAGCAACTACGTGACTATCATCAAACATTTACTTTTTGCAATAAATGTCAGTGGAGTTAGGCGAATAAACGTAATAACCATAACAATAAAATGAATGAGGCCAGCCAGCCAGCCAGCTCCACACTCTCCCACACTCCCACTCTCTCTCTCTCTCTCTCTCCCTCTCCCTCTCCCTCTCCAGCTTGTCTCGTAAAAAAGTTATGCCATTTCTATTTATTAAGGCCTAATGATATTACCTAACTATGACACTTAAGCATCAGATTAATCTGAGAGCAAAGCAAAATAATCAAATTTGTGGCGTCAGCTCAAAGTTAGCTGTAGTCTCGCGACTAATATGATCAAAAGGTTTTTATAGAAATAAAATACAAATTATTCCAAGTTAACAATGTATTTATAGATATATTTATATATATATATATATATATATAAGTTAACTTATAACACTTAGTTAGCTTATAACACTTAATGTAAGGTATTATTCAACACTTATTATCGGGTGCTAGACAAGTTAAGGAACAGCCCTGGCAAGGGCAACTCTACTTACGCCGGTGAGGCTATGATTTGTAAAAATATAGATCAGTCTCGTGTTTTAACTCGTACTGATAGGACATGCTAAAAATTGTTGTCATATAAGTAAAACTAAAAATAGTGAATATAATAAGAAAAACCAATAAAATTAACTGTTTCGATTATTCAAAAAAAGAACAATTAAAAGCAGGGTTAAAAAGCGTTCTTCCAGTAAACCGCTTAAATAAATATTCACTCCGTCATTTGCTCGTTAAATGGCTTATTTCATTGTCTGAGCCCGAGGCCAGCAATAAGAGGCACAGTCGCCTCTCAACCTAACTTTCAGTCACCACAGGACTGGAAATCATATAATTGGCGCCCAACGTGGGGCGGACTCCACAACCAACAACAATTAAGACAGCAGCGCGGGAGCTGCAATTGACAGATCTTATAAAGGGATTTATTTTTTTTGTTTTGTGTTAGTTGAATCTTGTAAGTGGATACTCTAGCCAAAATTTTTCTTCAAACACAAAAAGTGTTAAAATTTATTTTATAAAAAAATACCTAGGACTAGCGAGTATTTTATATTGCAATTGCATGTAAAAAAAAAAAAAAAAAAAATTAATGATCAGAACCAAGTGAGAGTGACTACTTTGGGAATTTTAGTGGCAGCAATTGATCATTCAGATCGTCAATAAAATTACATTGTGTTACTTTCTGTGTGTCTGAAGTTGTGCATGCAGTTCTCGTAGTTCAGAGCTGTGACGTAATTCGACCCATCTTCTGACGGCCCGTTTTATTTTTCGCGACCACTGACCTGCGCATGTCTCGGTTCAACCAATATAGAAACCCTCGCAGGCAGTCTAGCGACTCAGATTCCGACTGTGTAGTTCCCCCACCATCAGGTAGAATGGATGCAGATCAGCTTACGGAAATAATAAGGACGGCTACTAGCAAAGCTTTAGCCGAACAGGCCGCTGTAAACCAGCAGAGGGAACATGTATTAACTCAACGAATTAATGAGTTAGCTGAACAAATAGCGGTAGCAAACGTTGCCGCCCCACAAGTAGTAGCGTATGCTGCTATAGGAATTAGGAACGATATTCACTGTGACGAGCCACTAGATGCCGTCAAATGCTTACCTGAGTTTGCAGGGGTACAGGAATCGTATGTATCTTGGAGGCAGGCAGCATTAGCCACTTACGAGATCTTCAGACCGTATAATGG